ACAACAGAGATTGACATCCAGATACAATTCTTCGAAGATTACAACAAAGCGGATAACTTACTTTTAACTATAACATGGAATAAAAGTGAATATAATGTTCAGATGATATTGGCAGAAAGGGAAGAAAACTTTTCAGTTTGAATTGGTCAGAAATTTTTGTAACCAAATTTTGAGGCTCGATAACCGAAAAGCTTTAATATGGGAACCGGCATAGAAAGAAAGCTAGAGTTAGGTTTAAACGTGATATAAAATGTTACTTGATGGATTAAAAAGGCTTTAGAGATTTTGTCTGATTTAATAACGTATGAAGGATGTGAATTTACTGTTATAGCTAAAGGAGTAAACTTTATTAGGAGTAAACTTTATTAGGGGTTAAAAGATTTGATAGATGTAGATAGATGAAATGATAGAACATATTTTTAAAAATAGAAATGTATTTGTTGGACTTACATTATTATTTTAAACATGATAATTATGCTGTAATAGAGAGAGAGATTTTGTCTGATTTAATAATGAATGAAGAATGGGAATTTTCTGATATTATAGTTGATAAGTATTTGAAGGTCTAAACTTTATTAAAGGGGTTAAAAAGATTTTTTTATTGACGTAGATTGATGAAATGACAGAATATATTCTTAAAAATAGAATTATATTTGTTGGAGTTATATTATTATTTTAAATATGATAATCATGTTGTAATAGAGAGAGAGGAAGAGCTATTTGTGATAGAAAAAAATAGTTTCAATGAATGATCTATCATTAAGGATACCTGAAATCCCAACTATATATTCATTAAAACATAATTGGAGTATGAGAACTGTAATTAGTAAAGCTTAAAAACAGGATATAGATTATTATAATCGCAATGTGGATTGATGACTTTTGCTTGATTGAACTTTACCTAAAACTCTATTAATTTTAATAAGCAATATTATATCTAGGAAATAGAGAGGAATTTTTTGATAATTAATCTGAGCTATACTTATCTGATTTTGTCTTCAATTGATTTGTCACCCTGACCACCACGTTGTGTCCTAAGCTTTTATAAAAATGGAAAAAAACCAATAAAACTTTTTTTCCAAAAGAATAGTCTTTAATCTTTTAATGAAAGCTATATTTCAAAAAGATCAACAAATATCCACCTCCAAAATTCTAATAAACCAATTCACCACAGTTGTTACAAATCTTTTATCTTTTCTCTTTATTTGAAAGTCAAATTCATCAAATAGCAAAAGAAAATAGAGTTGTAATGGGATTTTTTGCCACAAGATGTCCTCAGTGGATTGTAAACTCTTTCTTCCAAATAGGTAAAAATTTATCTCTTTCAGAAGCAGAAAAAACAAAAGCCAATATCTCCAATATAATAGATAGAGTAAAAAATATAGTGTTTCTTTTTTATTTTATTTTTTTCAAGGCCCCTAGGTATCCAGAAAGAAAAATCAAGTAGTCAATAAAGCTTTAATTATTTTAGTTCTTTTAAAACTTTCTTTCCCAAGTAGATAGAAGCTCTCTTAAGACAGGGAAGTGATCAAAAACTTTTTACAGGCAAATAATCAGAACAGAGAGAGGGAAGAAAGGTCTCACTCGGATTCACCACGGTGGTTCTTTATGCTTAGATGATTTTCTGACTTCGACTGGCGCAGCTAAGTGATCGGCCATTTTATTGGCCGATCTTCTTTTCTGTCGGCCCTACAGAGTTAGTTCGGACTGCAGGGGGAACCACCGTTCCACTGCAGCCAAGCAAAGCGTCCTCAATGGTAGTCGCCCTTCCAGGGCAATTTAAGACCCACCTAAGGGTCTACCGGCGGAGGGAAAACAGCCGACAGAGAGAGGTCTCTTTGTACGACTGAGGTGCCACAATCCGGAAGTGGAAGTCAGGTTTTGGTCACTTCTGTCATACTGGGAAGTTACCCATGAAGCACGTTTGTTTTTTTTGGGGGGGGATCCCCACTCCGGTTGCTAAACTTGCTTAAATCCTCTGCCTCCACTTCCTCCTCACCGGAGCTCCCCTTTGTTTGCAATGGTGCATCAGGAAGACCCCTGCTGGGCTGGGGATGATGAGGATCTACCTTCTGCGGAGTAGTGGCAGGGTTCCAGCTGATCAGCGCTTCTTTTGGGCTCAGCAGAAGCACCAGGATCAATCCCTGACAGCCCCGAAGAAGCGCTGATCAGTTGGAAAGTGGTGCTGATCTTGGTGCTTCCGCCGAGCCCTTTCAGTCCCGAAGAAGCACTGATCAGCTGGAAAGCAGTGCTGATCCTGGCGCTTCTGCTGAGCTCGGCAGCCCAGCAGCTCCAGCCGTCTCTCTCAGGCTTGTGTGATGCTGCCACCAGTTCAGCTCATTCCCTTCCCCTGCTACCACTTCTCTATGATGGTCGTGTACCTGCCAGGTGCCAATGTACCATTGGTGGTACGCGTACTACCAGTTGAAAAGCCCTGTTGTAGATGACCCCTGTTTTTCTTCTGGGGTTGTTGGTTTCAAGCTACAAGCCCTACTGTCTTTAGGACTGCCATTGTGTTTCTAGGCTTGTTTACAGTTACTGGGGGGAGGGTGAGTTTGGGATCCATAGGTGCTCCTTATCGACGTGAGAACCAAAACTGCTGAGATGTTTTAGCAGATTGAAGTTTCTTCTCATAAAAATTGCTGAAAGATTAATTGGACAATGTGACCTGAACTGTCAGAGAGGGGAGGGAAAGTTTTACTCTTTCAATTATCTGTTTCTCAGAGCTAGCTTCCTTTCTATCTTATTGGTTTGTTAATGCCTAATACATTAGAGAATGCGGTGTCTGTGGGGTTTTGCGTTATTGGGCTTCTCAGCTGGACTTTGACACTGAGCTAGCTCTCTAAACAATTCCAATTTCATTAAGGGGTCCTGAGCCCCTATGCCCTTCTGGTAGCCTTCAAAGGGGTAGTGAAGACTCAGGAGAAGATGCCTGAAATGGAGCAGCCGGCTAGACCCAGGTTGGGCTCAACCAGCGGGACTCTGGCTGGGGCCGAAAGCAGGTTCGTAACCTGACTGGCCTCGACATGCCCCAAGGAGCAAATTGAACAAAAGGAGCCAACCCCGGCCCCAGAATGGATGGGTGGAGCAGTAGTGTTCAACCAACTCAAGTTGGAGGAGTGGCGAAAGGGGCTGTGGAAAGCTGCTGAAGCCGAATTCTTGTTGTACTACCATTGGCCTGAATGGAGCAGAAAGCTGAAGTGGTGGGAGCGAGAAGCTTCAGAGTGGACAGCATCTAAGGAGTGCTACTTGCCAAGGTGTGGCAGCCAATCAGTGGAGCAACTGAGGTAGAAGTTTAGCAGCCTAGAGGTCCAAGAAGGAGAGCTGGTCCCATGGCTGGATCCTAGACCCCCGAGGGGGCTCAGCTCTTCTCCCAGCACCGATACTGGCCCCTTCACACCAGCACTCAACAGGAGTAGGAGCTGCTGTGGCTGGAGGAGCATTGTCAGTCTTTTTTGTGTAAAAGGGAGAGGAACATTTTAACATCACTAATCATGTGAATTGAAAACATTTTTTAAATTCTTTTTGGGGTTGCTCGTTGCTTGGGATGGAGGAGGATCTGTTCTGTTGATGGAAGGGGGGAGGCTCTGTGTTTCCTCTGCTTTATTCTTTATCCTTTTGATGCATTAGGGTGTGAATGGAGGAAGGAATGTGCCATGGGTCATCTGCCTTATCTCCACTCTGCTCTGGTAGGAGCAGGATGTCATGAAATGAAACCTAGAGGATTACGCCTGGGAACTCTGCTTATCACCTTGGTTCCCATAACAACCTCACACCTGGGGATTGGATGAAATTAAACTGGACATTTGGCCGTTGGGGTGGGGTTTGAATGGGATGCTTTAGTATAATGTTTTGTGTGGGAAAATATCAGATCTTGCTTTATTTTCTTGCTATCATTGCCTCTCAATAAAAGTTCCTTTTGAAACAATGCCTGTTTCAAGAATTCTGCTTTCTTGGGAGGATTAGTTGAAGTAGGACCTTACAACTTCCTCTCAAGATGGCTGCTGCACAGTAAGAGTTTCTTCTTCCATTTACCAATGATATCTTGATTTCACTTCCAAAGATTCTAATTCTCTCTGGAAGCAATTGAAGTCACTTGGCATATACATCTTCCAGTGAAGCAGTTTCATTTTCTAAGCATGCCTGAGTATTAACTTTCACTTTTTAGATTTATTTTATTTTGCTTTAAAAGTTGATTAGTGGTTGAATGCTGATTTATCTCAACCCCTTGTTGGATTCTAATTGCTTTTTTCTTTTTTCTTTTTGATATATTATTCTAGATAACCTCTGTCCCTTCCATATGGAAGCAAGGCAGCATTTGCGTGGGTGAAGAGCTCTCAGACTCTCACCACTAGATTCTGTATTTTTTGAATTTGCAAAATATCTGGAATTTATTTTTATTGATTTTTTCTTATAACCTTCTTATAACTGAAATATAGAGGAAAACATATCTTGACTGTTCTTATTCCCTGGTCAAGTTTCACAGATTAAAATAGCTGAAGAGTGGCTGAAATCTAAGAAAGGAGAGTGAGGAAATATTCAGCTTTTAGCTGAATTTCTCTTTAAAAAACTGGACGAGACTATAATCTTTTTGCAAGAAATGTTAGGGCATGGAACTTTGGATGAAGACACACAGAAGGACTTTGATCCAGTTTGAGATCAAAGAGATATTTTTGCAGCTGGAGAACTAACAAAATGGATTTCATCTGTTGTCCCAAAGCTCAAGCCTATATGTTTCTACTACAATATCCAGCCTCTGACTGAAAAGGGAAGTGACAAATTCTTTTCTTCTATGAAGATTGAGAGAGACTGGATGGATTTATTACAGGGTGGGAGCTAATGTAGTAATGTAGATCAGTATTCAACTAGAGGGGATAATCTGTCTATATGTATTGTTTTGATGCACCTTTTTAAAATGTTTTGATTGTTTTTGTTTTTTGTCTTGTTTTTTTCTTTTTCTTTTTTTGTTTTCTGTGGGATTTTTTCTTTTGGGTTTTCTATTTTGTATTTTAACCTTGTCTTGAATAAAATAAAAATATAGATTAAAAAGAAAAAGAAAAGATTTCTTAAACTCTTCCCCATCATCATAAAGGTCAAGCTCTCGACATCTGATAAACTTCACCTTTCAGCATATTAAATTACAACTTAAAATGCAAGACGGCAGCTTCAGTCAGATGATGGGAAAAAGCTTTGTCATCATGTTATGTGGAACAATACAATCATGCCTGGGAGATCACGCTTAACCATTTCCAGGATCTGAGTTAGTCACTGAGTGATTTGGCTTTATTGTTTAAAAGTTTTCTGCCCCGAAATGCTGATTTGGTATCTATCATCTACTCCCATTTAAAGAGAGCTGATCCACAAGAGGAGGAACTGGACCATCTTTGTTGTTTCAAAGTATTAATTTTGAGACATGACTAGTAGGTACAGCTAATACTGTTTTATAGTCTGTGAAATTAAGGTAAGTGGAATGGTGTCACTACGATTAGTGGTCATGCCAGAATCTATACTTGCAGTACAAGATCTACAGGACTGATTGTATTCACTTTGTACATTTGGATGCAGTTTTGCCTCTCATGATTTGGACTATTTTATTTTTAAAGATAAACATGATACCAGTTGGAAAATTTCTGCTTTTAAATCAGAGGGTTATATCAGATAAGCGTAAGCATCTTTAAACTCTCATGCACTGGTTTTAATGTAACTGTTTAGATAGACAGATGTTGAGCCAGATGGCATTGTGTCTCCCATCCAGTCCCATCAAGCATTATTATTAGTGTCCATTGAGATAGAGTATATATTTGCTATTGTGTTGGTTCCAGAGAGCTGGGGCTCCATTATAGTGAGAGCTTGCACTGCTTTGTGCTTTAATATTGATGTGCTACATAGCTCTTCAGCAAGATTCTTTCTGCTCCCCCTCCCCATTCCCCAATACTTTTTCTTTCAATGTCTGCTTATATTTCCAACAGTGCCTTGGAGTTGCTCATGCTGGCACTTTGCCTGGTGTTTTTCAGAATTCTGTTATGAGAAGCACAAGACAACAGTAAGCAGTTTCAGATTTGTCAATACATTCAGCAATTCACAGACTCCAAGTGTTTGTGTCAAACCGCATATGCTTTCATCCCTTTGATGTGTAAACTTTTAAGAAGGCCTCCACATGTTTCTGGAGTGTGTAGATAGGACCGAAGTGCATCCTGAAAACAAGCTTTTTATGTGTGATAATATCTGTGAAATAATGGAGGAAAGGTATTGGTTTGCTTATTGCTTATGTATTCCAGGACAGAGTTTTTTTGTGTTTGTGTGTTTTGTACCTCAATCTTAAAACATAGTCTCTCTCAAATTGAAGTCTCAGGCTTCACAGTGTTGGCAACAGTTTGGAGATGGCTAGCTCAGAGCTTTATTCTGGGATGTTGCTTCAGTTTTCATAACCTGTCTTAGTCTGTCATCTCGTTAAACATGTCTGATTCTGCTTAGTTTTTGTGAGTTTGCAACTTATCTGAGTAACTGAATGCCATTTCTTCCAAGTAACATATGCACATACCTAGATCTATGGGCATTCAGTGTCCTTTCTTCCAAATGGATTTCCCTACATTTCCCTAGATGTTGGCCACTTTATAATAACATAATACTAATTATAAGTATCCAGACTCAGTTCTTGAGAATAATAAAGAAAAAATTGTGTTGCTTTTTGCCTATAGCCTATAGATTAATACTGGCCAGGCATGGCTGGGTGGTTCCTGCTATTTAGTATGAATGATTCCCAGATTCCTTTGCCATTGACTGGGCTGAGCAGTTTGATAGGAGTTGAAGTTTAAAATATCTGGCAATTGCCAAGGTGCCTATCTGTGCAGAAAATCACTAGTTCTCCAGTACAGGAGATGGATAATCCACTGATGGGTTTTCTTTGTCTGCCTGCTCTTGAGACCAAGTACCAAAACTTGACACGCCCCCACTTCCTGTGGAGTCCATTCTTAACTTGGTCTCTGCTCGAGAAGACTCGTTTTGGTGTGGCTCTCAGCTTATCAGGTTAGACAAAGAAATCCATTGATTGATTATCCCTTAATAATTGGCTTCCCCTTCCAAAAAATTGCCACCTATAGGAGTTTAACCAAAAAATTTTCTGGAGATCAGTTCTGATCTCAAACCTAAAACTTAAAAGGGGATTGGTGGGGGGGGGTAACTTCCCCACAGATATCAGCCAGCCCCAGGGCTCTGGGGGTGGAAAGGGGGGGGGAAGAAGGTATCAGCAGAGACCACTTGCTGAACCTTTTCCCCAACCACTAATTTTTCCTTGGGATCATCCCTAATCTCATATCTAAAATTAAAAAGGGGGGTGTGGGGGGGGAAACTCCCGATGGATCCCAGCCAGCCCCAGGGTTCTGGGGGTGGAAAAGGGGGGAAGAAGGCATCAGCAGAGACCACTTGCTGAGCTTTTCTCCCCAACCTTCCAAGGGATTTTGTTTTTTTCCTCAATTTGGGGAAAAAATAACAATCTCCAGGTCCGGATTCAAACTTGAATTCGGATCGTCGAAGATTACCTAGCAGCCCAGGGCAACCGCCATTTTAGTTGCTGCTTTCAGGCAACAAAGGCAATCCCCGGCTGGGATCCCCCTAAAACGTCACCAGCGCGCTAAATTTAAATCCCCGGGCACAAGCAGCTTCTGGGAGGCCGTGGAGCTCATTTTCAGAGGGAAAGGAGCTGCGGCCACCCTCCTTTTTTTAAAAAAAGCCGAAGGGAAGGGAGTAAGCCCCAACTAAGAACCGGGGGCTAGAGAACCTTCCTGGGAACCGCGGAGCTCGTTTTCAGAGAGAAACGAGCAGCGGCCGCCATTTCCTACCAGAGGAAGACAAACGGAGATTAAGGAAGCTCCACAACATACCTGGAAGCCCTGATAGCGATGGAATAGGAGTGCACAGTCAGCGCTCCACCCCGATATACTTATATAATAATAGAATAAAATATAATAATAATAAAAATAAATAATTAAAAAAAAAGATTAAAGCTAAAAATTAAGCTACTGCAAGGCCAACAGGCCTAAAGGCAGAACACACAATATCATCATCATCATTATTGTTGTTGTTGTTATTATTATTATTATTTTATTATTATTGTTGTTGTTCCTATTACTATTATAATAGTAATAATATTAATAAGAATAAATTCCGCTCTTGGTGACCGCCATTTGATACCTTGTTGTGGATTAGGTCAGGCCTACAGACCCTTTTGAGGTTGCCACTGATATTTTTTGCCTCCCCTCTCTTTTGCCTACTGGTGCACGTTGCCTGGTCACCTAAGGCCTCCGGGCGGAACCCAAAGAGTGGTTCCAAACGTGCCTTCGGTACCTCCCTCAGCTACCGTGACCTTAGCCCAGAGAGAATATTTTTGTTGTGGTCGGGTGATCAGGGGAACAGTCCTGGTACTTGTTCCAATTTCGCTCCCGCCAATACTTGCCTGCCTGAGCGTCTTCTCAGTTTTTCTGGGACTGCTCAAGCGGAATGGAGGGACCCTCGTTGCCTCAATCCATGAGCACGACCCCTCCATCTCCCAATTACGTCTGCAACACACCTTCTGACCAGAAGGCGGCAGGCAAGTGCAAAGCGAAGACAAAACACTCGCTCAAGAGGCCCTCCAAGTTGGCGGAAAAGCAAGCCAGCCATAGGTACCAGGCCCTGGAGAGGGAGTTCTCCAGAGTGCAGAGGCAGGCCCAATTGGAATTGGTTCAAATGGCGGCCACCGAGATGGAATTACCATTGGGTCCATCCACATCAACCCAGAGCGTGTGGTCCATTCCAGGAATACCGCAACCACTGGATTCGCCATCCACATCGGCCCAACAAACACCACGGCGGCAGGCACAACCACTGAGTCCACCTCTCCACCTGCGGTCACCACACCCAAAAGTAATGACATAGGGGACATCTGGGCAGATGGACGGCTAGAAGCCCTATTAACCAAAGTGGTGGGCCGAGCCCTAGCACAGCGCTCCGCCCACCACGACCAGGGGCCCTCCACCTCAGCCATGCCACACTCAGAACTCCCCTCAGAGTCCTCAGGCATTCAGGAATCCACCTCCCCGGCCCAGTCCTCCATGAGTGGTTATTCTTCACCACAAGAGGAGGATCAACCTGAGATCTCTATGTCAGAGGATGAGGAACTTCCCCCTGAGCCCCCCTCAGGGGGATTATTTAATCACAACCGCTTCCTCACGATACTACACAAGGCCACAGCCATTGCGGACATGGGGACAGATCAGTTTTCTCAGCCGCAAGCGACACCGGCCACCACATCCAGACCCGTATTCGTAGAAAAGGTGACAACGCAGCACCATATACCTTGCCCCGCCATTTTCCTGAAAGGGATCAAGAAGCCATGGGACTCTCCTGCTTCCTTCCCATCAGTGAGTGGTACGGACAAAAAATTATACAGCACTGCTGCAGACCTCAATGAGGCCTTAGAAATACCTAAAGTAGATGAAGCCTGGACCCCCTTGGTCTCCCAGACAGCCATGGCTGGGGACCTAGTGGAGGCCCTTAAGGCAGATGACAAAAAGTGGGAACAAGCCTTTCGCAAAACCCACCAGACAGCGGCATGAGCCATCAAAGCAGCCACCTCGGCCTCCTTTTTTGTCCGGGCCACCCTCATGTGGTTGCAACAACTACAAGCCATAGTTCCTATGGATGACATACAAACACACCAGGACCTGGCTAAGATGGTAGCAGCCACGGAATATGCTGCAGACCCAACGCTCCAATTGGCCATTTTTTCATCCAGATCCATAGCATCCAACATAATTGCCAGGAGAATGCTATGGCTAAAACACTGGCAAGCTGACACCAAGGCTAAGTGGCGGCTAGCGACCGCCCCTTACTCAAGCAACGGTCTGTTTGGGGAGGCCTTGGGCCCCTATCTTGTAGAGAGCAAAGACAAGCGGAAGATCATGGCACACTTGAACAAAAGGTCAGACAAACGTACCACACATTACTTTCGTAGGCAGTCCTTTCGCCAACCGACAACCACGCCTATCAGTCAGGCACCCAAGCCATTCACTCCCAGGCAGAACAAACCGTACGGCCGCCCCTATGACAGACCGGGGTTCCAGCCCAGACAACAAAACCAGTCGAGACGACCCTTTCGTGGAACGGGTCGTCCGTACCGGAAGACAAAATGACTCCTACATAGACCTACCCATTGGAGGAAGACTAGCTCACTTCTTCCACCAGTGGGAGCAGACCTCCATGGACAACTGGGTACTACAAACCATCCAGTCCGGGCTGTCCCTGGAGTTCCTGGTCACACCCCCAGACCGACTCATCAACTGCTCGGTCTCCAGGAACCCCACCAAACGCAAACTCATGCAGGAGGCCATCCAACACCTGTTGGACATTCAAGGCATAGAACCGGTCCCAGCGGAATACAGAGGCAGAGGATTTTACTCCATCCTCTTCGTGGTTCCAAAGACTTCAGGAGGATGGAGGGCAATCCTGGACCTCAAAAACCTCAACCGCTACATAACATACAAAAAATTCAAGATGCAATCCCTTCAGTCCATCCTGGGAAGCATCAGAGAAGGAGACTTCCTGGCGTCAATAGACCTCACGGAAGCCTACCTTCACATCCCCATCCACCCAAACCACCATCGGTTCCTATGTTTCTGTTACGGGGGGAAACACTTCCAATACAGAGCTCTCCCTTTCGGTCTATCTTCGGCACCCAGGGTATTTACCAAGATACCATTTGTGGTAGCCGCCAAACTGAGAAAAATCCCAATACGCGTCCAATGTTACCTAGACGACATACTAATCCAAGCAACATCCCTACAGACAGCTCAGGCGGACGTAAGGACCGTCATTCGCGTCCTCCAATTACACGGATTCTCAGTAAACTTTCAGAAGAGCCAGACAGTTCCCTCGTCCAGGCTGCTGCATCTGGGGGCCATGATAGACACAACCAACTGTATGGTCTATCTCTCCCAAGAGCGGGTGGCCGGCATCAGGGAATTGGCTCGCTGGGTTCACAGGCAGCGTTCAGTTCCGATACTAACACTTTCCCAATTATTGGGCAAGATGGTATCGGCCATAGCCATTGTACCCTGGGCCAGGCTCCACCTACGGGAAGTACAGTGGTTTCTGCTCCCTTACCAACGGCAGAACACCAGCGCATCCAACCACCTAGGCAGGGTCACGCCACAAATCTGCAGGACGCTACGCTGGTGGTGCTCTCGGGCCGTGACCAAGGGGTCACCCTTCAAGGAACCAGTCAGAGTTACCATCACTACAGACGCCAGTCTGTACGGTTGGGGAGCCCATCTGGACCCTCAGTTTATACAGGGACGTTGGTCCGCCGCGGATCTGAGAAACAACATCAACTGGCTAGAACTCAGGGCTATCCACCTAGCCTTGCAACAATTCAAAGACAGAATCAGAGGCCACCACGTTCTAGTCCTAACAGACAACGTAGCAGCCAAGGCGCACATCAATCGGCAGGGGGGGACCAGATCAAAAACCCTGATGACAGAGGCACGACTCCTATTCAGCTGGGTAGAGCCCAATCTGAAGTCACTAAAAGCGGAACACATATCGGGGGTCAACAACCAGCAAGCGGACTTCCTAAGTCGCACCACAGTGGACCCTTCGGAGTGGGGGCTACACCCGAACTTGTTCCTAGACATCTCCCGCAGGTTCGGGTATCCGATCCTTGATCTGTTCGCATCGTCAGACAATGCCCAGCTCCCCAGATTTTACTCTCGTTACTTCAACCCGTGAGCAGAGGGGACGGACGCCCTGAGAACTCAGTGGCCTCAGGGTTTGCTTTATGCCTTTCCCCCACTCCCACTCATACCGGCGGTCATCCGCAAGCTGATTCACGAGTGGGCAGAAGTGATCCTAGTAGCACCATATTGGCCACAGAGATCGTGGTTCGCCGACCTGATGAACCTGTCTCAGTCGCCCCCATGGAACATTCCCCCTCATCAAGTGTCCCTACACCAGGGAACCATCAGTCACCCGGAACCCCAATGGTTACAACTGACCGCCTGGCACTTGAGCGCCAGATAATGGCACAGGAACTATTCTCTCCCGGGGCCATTACCATAATTCAAGCTTCACGCCGTCCGGCAACAAACCGCATTTATGACTCCACTTGGAAAAATTTTTGCCTTTGGTGCAGGGAACGGCAGTTTGACTTACACAAACTCTACATTCCTCAGATAGTAGATTACCTCTTGGAGGGACTAGACAGAGGCCTCGCCCCCGTGACCATCCGCAGGAAGTGGCGGCCTTGTCCACCCTCCTCACCTGCACGGATTTGGTTCCCTTAGCTCACCACCCCAGGATCCGTGCCTTTATCAAGGGCGCTTATAACACCAGACCTCCAGTAGTTCACAGGTACCCGTCCTGGGAACTACCGCGAGTCCTTCACACGCTCATTCGGTCACCATTTGAACCATTGGCGACCGTTTCCTTGCGACACCTGTCGCTAAAGGTGGCGTTCCTGATTGCCATCACATTGGCCAGACGAATTTCGGAACTGGCCGCACTGTCAGTCAGAAACGACCTATGCATTTTCCACAAGGACAGGGTGGTCCTTAGGTTAGATTCTTCCTTCATACCGAAGGTGAATTCACTCTTTCACAGGACACAGGAAGTAATTCTCCCAAACTTCTGCCCAAATCCAATACATGACCGGGAGCGGCAGTGGCATACATTGGACGTCCGCAGAGCCTTGCAGCGTTATATAAAGCGTACAGAACCCTTCCGCAAGTCGGAGGCCCTATTTGTGTCCTTCCAAGCGGGCACCTTGGGGCGGAAAGTTTCCGCAGGCACCATTGGAAGGTCGATCCGAAGTTGTATTGCAGAAGCTTACAATGTATCATCCCTGCCGCCCCCAAGTCATCTCACGGCCCAGTCCACCGAAGCACTGCAACTTCGGCGGCATGGGCTACCCAGGCGTCAATCGAGGAAGTTTGCAGGGCCGCGACATGGTCCTCGCCTTCCCCGTTTATACGGCACTACAAGATAGACCGCTTTGCATCGGCGGACGCCTCCTTTGTTAGGAGGGTCCTCCAGAAAGTTGTCTCAGAGATCAATCTACCGGCCTTATCTGTTTCCCTCCCCTTGGGACAGTGAGGCTTTGGTACGTCCCATCGGTGGATTATCCATCTCCTGTACTGGAGAAGGGGTGTTGGTCTTACCTGAACGTCTTTTCTCAGTACGGAGATGGATAATCCACACCCACCCCAAGGCCAGCAGGCCGCTAGTAGGGAGCTGAGAGCCAATACCTCGTCAATCATCAGCCAATTCGCCCTCGTTAAGAATGGACTCCACAGGAAGTGGGGGCGTGTCAAGTTTTGGCTACTTGGTCTCAAGAGCAGGCAGACAGAGAAAACCCATCGGTGGATTATCCATCTCCGTACTGATAAAAGGCGTTCAGGTAAGACCAACGCCCCATTTCATTCAGAGATTTTCATAGCATTATGACTGGGGATGCTAAGTATTGAACTCAGCTTTCTGTTTGCAAAGTAGCATTCTGCCACTGGACTATGGCCCTAATTTTTCCCATAATGCTGGCAAATCAACCTATCACCAGTTAATTCTACTGTGGATATATTTTAGGAAAAGGGAGGGGGAATACTCCTAAAAGCCCATCGAGTGACTCAACTAGGATAGGATTTTAATTTGGATTTGTGAGGTTCCAAAGATGTGACCACTATGCTACATTATAATTTTGTTGTCCATGGAAGAAAATCTAGTCTGTACACATATGAAGAGGTGAAGGTTCTCTCCATCAATAGGAGGTCAGAGTTTAAAAGAAATTCACCCTGTGGTTGCTGTGTTCTGCTTTTAAAACTGTAGTGTTCAGAGTTCAGGAAGTCTTGTGACAAGATCAGCCTCAAAACCAGGGGCTTATTTTCTCCATTCTACCCCTACTTCAGAGGAGCAATGCAGCTTTTGCCCTTGGTCTCCTGAGCTTCCATGACCCTATTCAGACACCTACCCACCTCAATGGAGTACATGGTGTTTAAGCATTAATTGTATCAGTTTGTGTTTGCTTTATGGTGGAAAGGAGTTGCTAATGTCCTGGGGTGAACCTGTGGTTACTGGTAAGTGGACTTCAGAGGAAATGAAATAAAGGGAGGAAAAGAAGGATGGGAATTGCAATATAATAAGAAATGTAACACTTTGCTAAGTGTTGTGGGGAATCAAGTTCCCAGGAACTTTGGGGAAGTCTTTGGAAGTATATTTACACATATCCAAATCTAGGCAAGTGATGAAATTTGGGGTGGTGAAACAATTTTATTACTGGTTGGATTTTGGGATAAGCTATATAGGGCATTTGCGTGAGTCACCTTCATAAATTATTGCTTCATAAATGTGTTTCCGTGGCTAACTTGTGTTCTGCTTATAATGTTGTGGCACCTGCATGTTTTTAGGCCAGTTTCTTTTGTTCTTCTTAAGGGAGAGGGGAATTATTATTGACCATTAAAGGCTTTATTAAGAGGACCCAAAAGGTTGTCTAATGAAGTGGTCAGTAATAAGCCAGGTTTTTTTTAGTCACTACCATCATGGAAAATATTTCTTTTTATATTCCTCACAAATAGAGATGCCTCTTGTCACTGCTCAGCAAACCTAACTCGTAGGGTTCTTGGGGAAGAAAAATTGCTGGAAGGACAGTTGGAAAGATCTTGCAAACTGTTCACTCCCCATCCATACTCAAATGTATATTCACCCACCAATATCTACTTTTGAGTAAATAAGTAGGAAAGTGACAGGTAGCCTAGACTACTTATCAGCAATTCTGATTTGCTTATGTGGGGCTATGGTAAAAATTCTACTTTATGTTTATTTTTCCTCAGGTTATCATGTGATGTAAGTGTGAGACGGAAGCAAAGATAAACATGCATTCCAACCACACAACTAGAAATGGCTGCCGAGTACAGGAAGTTATGCAGGTGAATACAGATTCCTGAACTGATATCTGGAAATAAGGCTGCTTTGGGTGTAGGAACTCATATCCAGTAGGTGGAAGAAAGTTGTCCGGTTAAAGAGCTGAGTTTAACATGGAAATGGTATAATTTCTATGGATAGTTAGTTCTCAACTTACAACCATTTGTTAAGTAAACATTCAAAGTTACAATAGTACTGAAAATGTGACCAATGAATGGTTTTCACATTTAAATTGCAGCATTGCAGCATCCCCATGGTCACATGATCAAGATTTGGGCACTTGGTGACTGGCATGTCCTTATGACAGTTGTGTTGTCCTGAGTTCATATGATCACTGCTTGTAACCTTCCCAGCTGGCTTCTGACAAGCAAAATCTGTGGGGAAAGTCAGATTTGCTTTAAAAAACCACACTGAGTCACTTAACAACTATGGCAAAAAAAATTGTAGAAGGATGTGCAACTCACTTAACTAATATATTGCTTAGCAACAGAAACTATGGGCTCAAATGTGGTCATAAGTCAAGCACTATCTATTATACTATAGTATAATTCCTTTCTGCCCTATCAAAACAGCATACTATTTCTATACTTAATTCAATTTTGGAGTTCTGCTCTGGGATTTATTCTGACACGGCACATGGGGTCACCTTCGATTTTTCAGAGCAAAGCTTAACATTATTGGTACTTATTAATACGATTGGTGCAAATTGGTATCGATAATTGGTAACTATTCTTTAATTTTTTTATGTTCCAATTAGTATCTTCATTTATTTTCCTCTAAAACCCATCCTCATTATCTAAACCACCTTTTTACAACGCTATTATTAGGGGTTCTTGGTGCTTTCTGAGCTTGGTTGTTTTCTTGCGGACGTTTCATCTAGATAACATCTGTGCTAATAAGGAGTGGGGCTTGCTCTCATTCTAGTGGCTTATCCTGTCAGTGTTGCTGGGGGATGGTCTTGGAGGTTCTTTTGTTGAGCTGTTTACTGTTCGCTTGTTTGCAGTTCCTTGATTGAGGTATCGTTTACTTGATTGTTAGTCTGATGTTAATCTTGGAGTTAACCTATGCTCATTTGGGTGCTGATTGCTGGTGGGGAGATGTTTCGGTCTTTTTGTTCCTTTTTTGGCTTGTTGATTGTCTCTTTTGAATAGTACAGGTAGTCCTCAAGTTATAAATGTAACGGAGCCTATCCATTCTATTTGTAACTCGAGGATTTGTAGTAATAAATCTCGTACCGTGAATGCGATTCACTCCCAGCTTCCGCCCACAAATTCGCTAATTTAATGCATGGGCAAATGCATGGCTTGTTAAGTGAATATGAGGTATTTCAGGGTGGGGAAGGCCATGGCGGGGACCTAGTGCTTCTGATTACCCAAGGTCTCCCCGGACCCACTGAAATATCTCATGCTCCCTTCCCTGGGAGCCCACAATTGCTCCCCCCATCTTGCTGCACCGGGTTACTTACCTTGTGAAGATATGACTCCTCTCCAGCCTCTCTATTTCTTTCTCTGCTCCCGGCAAGAACAGAGGGAGGCCTCTGAGGCCCAGAATGGACCTCCGGAAACACGTGGCCGCCTCCTGGCCTCTGTACTGGGCCTTGGAGGCTCGGAGGAGGCTTCTGAGGCCCAGAACAGGCCTTCAGAGCCCCGCTGAAGCATCCCCCCGTGTCATTTCCAGGCAGCAGCAGCTTGGGAAAAGCTTCCGACGCCCAGATCAGACCTTTGGAGCCATGCTGAAGTGTCTCCCGACATCCTTTCTGGGTGATAGCGGCCTGGAAAAGTCCTCTAAGGCCTGGATCAGGCCTCCGAAGCCCTGCTGAAGGATCCCTCGGCCTCCTTTCTGGGTGACAGTGGCCCAGAAAAGGCCTCCGAGGCCCAGATCAGGTCTTTGAAGCCCTGCTGAAGCATCCCTTGGCCTCCTTTCTGGGTGACAGTGCCCAGAAAAGGCCTCCAAGGCCCAGATTGGGCCCTCTGAAATGTTCCCTGGTGTCCTTTCTGGGTGGCAGCAGTCCAGAAAAGGCCTCCGACACCTGGAAATGAAACCAGGGGACGCTTCAGCGGGGTTCCGAAGGCCCGATCCGGACGTCGGAGGCCTTTTCCGGGCCACTGTCACCCAGAAAGGCCCGGGGATGCTTCAGCGGGGCTGCTATAAATTGAGCGAAAGCCTTACTAGCATTGATAATGTTAGCTAGTTTGGGTAATGAAACGAAACGAAAGAAAACAACCAAATTCAGAGAGCACCAAGGCCCCTTACTCCAACCCTGAGCTACAAATATTCTCCTTTATTGGTGCAACACTATTATGTTCCTGGACTTCAAGATTATGACAGAAGAAAACTTCAATATGAGGTTACAGTGTGAACAGGGAAAATTAGGTACAATTACAAAATTTATCTTCCCTCTCCTGCCACTTTTTTTTTTCATTTATTGCCTGTCAATAACTGGTAACTGGTTTTCCAATAGCAGAAAATTTATGGATTGTACTGAAACTTAGGAAAGAAGCAGAAGCTCCTTAAAACATGTTGCGCAATGGGGTATTTTAAAAGTCAAATCAAGTAAAGCATTTTGCATAACTTGAAAGTATAAATATTGGAAATAGTGCTTTTAGGCTACATCAACCTTAAGATAATAAGAGCCAGGGATTCTGGCTCTTATTGAAATGTCTTTAATCAGCCTCCTGTCTTTTGCTTCAAGGGATAATTCATAATATAATATTTTTTAAAAGTATTTTTATTATCTGAGACCAAAATTTTGAATGTTTCCAAGCCTATGCTGCATCAATGTTAAAACAAATGATCTGTTTCAAACAAGACTTAGTTTATTTGCTGCATTATTATTTTTCATATATTTTCTATTTTTTTAGCATCTTTCTTGAACTGCATTGCCCAGACGTTACTAATATATTTGCCCATTGAGATCTGCCAGTGTTTGCATAGTATTAATAGTAATTTGGAAGTAGGGTGCTTTATTTAATGTTGGTGCAACCTAAGACAACCTGTATTTATGTTACTTTAGTTGATCAGGAAGCAGCTGGTGAACTCCATCAAGGCTCTGCAGAAACATTACGTGACCTCTGATGCTCTTGTAACAAGTGATGATCAAGATGCTAATACTCTTTGTTGTGTATTGGAGGCTGTATTTGTACATGGATTGAAAACTAAGCACATCAAAGCAGAAATTGGAGCAAAAGGGAAAAAACATGGAGGGCGCCTTCCTCAGCCAGTGTTTTGGACTCTGCTAAAATCTGTCACACACAGGTGAGACTAAGAAATGCTACAATTTTGATTTGGGAAGTTACTGAGTATACAGTATGATGCAAGAGTGAGATTTTTGGCTGCAGAAAATCATATGATGTGTGGAATGCTAGAGAACTTGTCTCTTCTTGTCTAGATTTAGTAGATAAAAAAGCCCCAGGTTGTAATTGTATGTGTCTCAGTTACCTCTTGATGTGGCAGCAAAATGGTTCATAGGTTAAGATGTTAACAATGGTATTTCAGCCATAGTTCAGTAAAGACAGGTTTGAGACATGAGCGTTGTGTGATAGAATGAGCTCCCATCCTCACCTAGTCATTCGAAAGCATGCAGATGTGCTTAGATAAATAGGTACTACTTCAGTGGGAAGGTAACAGCACTCCATGACATCATGCTGGCCACAAGACCACAGAAACGTTTTTTTGACAGGACTAGCTCAATAGCCCTTGAAATGGAGATAAGGATGCCCGCTATTGTTGGCAATGATTAGCGGAGTAAAATCCACAGGGTCTCCTTTATCTTTTTACCTCCTGATGTTTTCATCAGACAAGAATGCATCAAACCCAACTTTTACCACCAGTCATAACCTTGCTTTCCCTTGCCTTTGTGAGCTGTCCTTTTAATGGATGTTGTGTTTTCCCCTTCCTGGTTATTTCTCCTTTTTCAGAAACATAATTTCTGAACTGGAAAACTTGATCTTCATCAATACAGATGTGGGGCGTTGTCGTGCATGGTTGAGGCTGGCTTTGAATGATGGCCTGATGGAGTGTTATCTAAAACTCTTGCTTCATGAAAAGTCTCAACTCTTTGAATATTATCATTCATCTGCTCTGCTTCTGGATACTGAGGAGGTTGAATTTCTCCTCAGCTATTTGCAGGGCTTGTCTTCTTTGGCCTTTGACCTCTCGTATAAGTCAGCAGTATTGAACGAGTGGACCATCACACCTTTATCCTTGTCAGGCCTTTGCCCTGCCTGGGAACTGTTGGACCCTCTTGTGGGACTGGACCCTCAAAGAAAGGAGTCACTTAGTTCTCTCTCACAATCTTCTGGCTCTGATGAAGTTGAAGCTCACCCAGCCATCCTGCCTGCCCCTAAAAGTGAACAGGCAGATAAACTCACAGCTTCCAACTTGAGCATCAGCACAACTGGTTCCTCACAGCTCTCTTCCAGCCTGGATTCTGACATTCTTCTCCCAGCCAATTCTACCAGCACTCACAGCCCTGATCAGGAGAAAGAGCCCATCTCCAATGACTCTGAAGTGGATATGACAACAGCAACAGCAGACTTGGACCAGGACCTCCAAGAGTGAGTATGATAGTGAAAGTGATATACCACACAATATTTTAACTCTGCAAGTATTAAAGCAGAATTTTAGTGAAATTCAGCATAACACTAAAATAATAATTCCTGGATTCTTAATAATGTGGTTGGCATGTCAATAAGGGAAATCAACCTGCATATCTTTTCTGCCTTTTTTCCAAGCCTAAAATAGAATGTTGCTTCTCCTATCATTAGTCCTGTTTTTGCGATTTTTCTTTGACCATATGTGAGATGCTGTCTTGATCAAACAATCTTTCCATTTCATTCATGCAAGTGTTCTGATTTTCTTTTCAGCATTTGTGTTACATCACAGAAGTATAATCAGTAGTTTGTGGGTTTTTCACCGCATGTTACTTTATCTACAAACTTAAACATTGAAAGTGTTTAATGTTTATATATGACAATAAGAGTTTATCAGTTATAGGTTTGACAGTGGCACCCTTTTCAGAGCTTGAGAAAGCTGTAGTCTTGTCTGGATGATTCACTCAGTAAATCCACAACTAAGGAGCAATTTGAATTCGTGGCCAGTTTCCTATATATTTTATCTGCAATTAGAAACTTCACTCTCAAAATACTGTGTATAATGGATATTTACCTTGTCAGTTCTAATCCTTTAGACCAACTTAACACATAGTATAAAATGTATCAATTCTATTCATGTATTAAAACAGTTTATTTTTATGCTTGAAAGAGCAAGTTAACAGTTATTGAATGTGCTGAATAATATGTGACTAACCTCAGTCATCTTTGATACCTTATCTTTGGACTCCATGTGGTACATTAAGAGATAGAATTACTGGAGATGATCTCTCTCTTGCAAATGTTTTAAATTTTTCTATTTCTTTCTAGGGTGTTAGCAGAATTTACCAGGACACAGAGAAAGTTGGAAACTGTAGGAGTTCATGAAGCACACATCATCTCTCAGTCTTCCCCACCAGAGTGCCCCTGCCCTGCTACCAGTTTCTGCACTGTGCACCTTCCTCATACTGTACTGGAAAAAGGCCCTGTTGACATCATGCTACCTGCAATAATGATAAATTCACAGCTTCCCAATTTACCTAAGACTGGAGAATCTGTTAGTAGTACCAGTGTCCAACAGACCTCTATGCTAACCACAATAATTGTGACCAAAAAACCTGTGGATGTGTCCCAAATTCATTGCAACAAGAGAGGAGCTAAAAGTCGGACTGATGAAGTCAGTGGTTATGAAGGAAGCCTCCCAGGAACAGACCAGCTTCTTTCACCAATCTCACCAGTGGTCTGCCCTGTAAGAATTACTTGTTTCGTTCTGTTGTGTTTTTGCAGCTTCTGGAGCTCTTTCTGGCCACATTGCCAAAAATTGGCAATAAAACTGCCAAAAGGGTCAGTCTAGTTCTCTATTGTTTTGAAGTAGGGAACTTGAATTAGTGCAATTCTAGAACAAGCTTAGGATGGTTTTTAAAAAATAAGCTTAATATAGCAAAGAGAAATCTTGGCTTGTCTGGCTTGCTTTGTCTAATGAGGCTTTTGGCTCTCCTCAAATAATAAAGTGGTCCTTGGCCATCCTTTGTATTTCTGCCATAGTTTAGTAAGTTCTGGAAGGCTATTTATGTTGCCAAAATTTGTACACGAGGCATGCCAAATAGACCTTAATTTTCAGTACCCTCCCAAAAGCATTAATTTTTTTTTTAATTTTTTTGGGAATCTCCCTGAAGCAGCCCTTTGGAAGTTGTTTATCATGGGATACTAACTCAATGTTTGGGGATCTGAGAACTCCTACATATTTTTTTTTATTGAGCTATGATTAACAAACACTATCAGGTAATTAAATTAACATAAATCCAAGATAAAAAAGAAAACTACAAACAAATCTACTAAAATGCAAATAGACACTTGCTATACCTGTACAGATTTATCATACATGTAAAGTATTATCATACTGTTATTATCACTTTTTTATAAAGATGAGAAATAGCAAATCCTGTCACATTCACAGCTATGGGCCTCACAACGAATGTATGATGTTGATCAAGAAGTTCCTTTACAGCTCCAGAAATGCTTTTCCTGCAACTTCACTGAAACTTCCTGTCCTTGACTTCATTTCCTCTAGCTACAGTGCCTTATTTCTGGCTTTGAGCTAATCTGTATGTCATATTTAATAAGTGATGTCACCTTTCCCAGATCACTTTTCCCAAATATCACCTATCTAGTCCATTCACATCCAGAAGAAAGACTATGGAATACCTTTGTAAAACAGTGTCTAATATTTTCCCAGCCAGTTCCAAATTTCTCTAAAAATGACTCCTGATAATATGAAAATTTAAGGGGAAAAAAAAACCAAAATTCCAGGTTTGCTTATATTTCTGTGTATATATGTGTGTGTTTAAATTGTTCAAAATTAATAGAATTTTAAAAATTAAATGCTGATGTCATGGTTCCGATAGATGAAACCAATTAAAAGAACTTCAAGGCAAGGATTTCTTCCTTAAAGATCATTTTATTCAGGAAACAAAGTATTGGCACTTACATAGTTGAACCCAAGACTAAAGTTCCCTCCCTCTGTTACAAAGTAACAAGCTGCAATTCCCACCCCAGAAAGGCCGTCATAAATCACATTCACCAATTAATCTAAAATCCTCCCCACTTTACAGCCCTCCAAAACTTTATCTAGAATTGACCTTAAAGCTCACCTAACTGCAATTGTTTAGGCCAGGGATAGGCAACCTTGGCTCTTTTATGCTGGCTCAGGAATTCTGGGAGTTGAAGTCCACAAGTCATAAAAGAGCCAAGGTTGCCTACCCCTGGTTTAGGCTAATTTAAAAAGCTCAAGCATTCCTCCCACCCACCCCTTCTACATCTGAGAATCCCAAGCAACAGAAAAAGCACAAATAAAGTAAAAGGTAAAATGGCTGCAATTTCTTAATTGTCACAGTGGTGACATCTGATTTGTCACAGGCTGAATTTTTTAAATCAGATTGTTTAAATTAGTTGACCATTTTTCTTGGTGCTTTAAATTGTATGATTGGATCTTTTTTTTTTTTAACCTGATCAGTTCAACCAAAGACAGTAATGATAATGATCTGTAGTTAGAGTGCAAGGTCTCAGATCAAGTCATTCAATATAATACTCAATTAGAAGATGGCTGCTTTGCTGGTCACTTGCAAGAAAAAGCTCTCAAAAGAATATTGCTATTATCGAATTTGAATTTTATTTCTATTTAAATCTAGTAAAGCTCAGAATCATCCCGCCACGCTTTCCACATTTCTTAATCACCGCCCTTCTTTTCATTTATTCTTGCTTCCCATCTTGGCCTGGGCTCCATTAGATCTGAGCTATGTCAAAAGTAAATGCATGACAGCCATAAGAGAAGGCTGTCCTGCTAAGGACAATTTATTATTTTCTCGCATCAGCCCAGCTGCTTGAATTCAGTAAACTCAGAGCCAGAAGAATAGCTTGTTTGGGTAATAGCACAAATGTTATCTTTTGTTATTTCCCAACAGAAAAGAAGCTGGATCACTGAGGATGATTTTTACCTTCCTTCCCCTCCCGAGGAAACAGAAAAAAGCTTCTCCAGTTCTCCCAGTACCTCACTAGAGAGGCTTACCAGTACCCAACCTGCTATGCCATTGAGAGCCCCAGATCGAGGCAAGCTTTCTGTATCCTCAGCAGAGCTCAGCAAACTCAAACTGTCTCCTAGGAGGGAGCTGAAGGGCTTTAGTGTTGTTCATCGGAGAGAAATAGGTAACTTGTGTTTTGACTAAGGGAGGAAAGAGGAAGTGGAATGGGAGGAGAGATTTCTATGGCGGTTTGAAGAATTTATAGTAATGGAAGCGTCATCCATTTTGCTGCTTTACAGAAATGTCACTTGTGCTAGAGAGTGCATAAAGCTATTCCTCTCTTGTCCCACTTGTAGGTCTTTCCAATCCATTTCGGGGTCTGCTGAAATTGGGGACTCTGGAACGTCGAGGAGCTCTGGGCATTTGGAAGGAGTTTTTCTGTGAGCTCTCACCTCTAGAATTGCGGCTCTTTGTAGACTGTGAGGAGCGAGTATGTGTAGAAAACTATTCTCTGCTGAGATGTGAGTCCTTAGGACGGGCTCACAGTGATGGGCGCTTTGAGCTGGTCTTTTCCAACAAACGATTGTGTCTTCGGGCTTCCTCCCGGGATGAAGCAGAGGACTGGTTGGACCGGCTGCATGAAGCCCTAAAAAAGTTTAGGTTACAGAAGGATGAAGGGTGGAAAACTCTAGAGTGCCCTGAGGCTGCAGAGGATTCTGAGGATTTCTTCGGAGGTGGACCACCTGGTGACTTGCCTTCCTTCTCGGTGTACAGTAGAACTGGCCCAACTGAGTTGGACTGGTCATGTGCCTTGAAACCCGAGCTAGATGCAGTCAAGGAATCTGTCCTGTACGTGGAGGTTGAGAAAGCATGGGTCCCTTTGGTGTTCTCCCTGTCC